CAAGTTATGGCTTTGTGCCGTTATGGCCGCGTGGCTACTTGGGCTGTACCCGGATTAAATAAGGATTTTTTGTTGACGTTTTTTGGTTTAAAAAAATCTTTTTGTTGTGTTTATACAAGTATAAATCTATTTTGGAAAAAAATCCATTCAAAAAATAGATTTCTTTTGAATGGATTAGAGCATGAACTTTGTTTGATGGTGTATCGATATAAATCGATTTTTTATTATCTGTAAAAGTGAACGATGTTTTTAATGTCCGCATGGATTTCGTAGAGACGCCCGAGACTCTTGGTCTTGATTCAAAGACTTTTCTTTGGTTTTTTTCTGTCTTGGTCTTGAGTCTTGGAAAATTTTCGGTTTCGGACATCTCTAGTATTTCGGGTCGGGGTACACCCACCAAACTACCTCTAGCCGAACTTAGTGCTGGCGTTTCTCTTTGTTGAACAACTATCCGTTGGTGGAAGTTCCCCCGTTTTTCCTCTCACCAATTTTCCATGTAAATCAATAAATTTGAAATTTTTCATTTCTATTATCGAATTAGAATACGACATTTTTCAAGCCTAAAATCCATAATTTGCCCACCCAAAATTGTTTTTGATAGTTATTTTCTAATCGTTTCCTGTCCCGAAGCTCGAACTCCCGAAAAACGAATTTAAGATTAACGAACTTGTAGTTCCTTTTTGTCTGTAGATATATTTTAAATTATTGATTGGGAGACACTTTTGAATTTAATTTACTATAAACTTTGGCATAACATAATTTGTTTTAGAGATAGTTTATAACTAGAGAATTAGAATTTTTTTTCTTTGCGTGCTTCTTTTTCTTTGATTTCTTACGTTTCTCATTTTTGTAAACAACAGACTGCCCAAATTTCTGTTTTTCATAGGTTAGGCTTTCAAATCAATAATCTTCGTCTTTGATTCTGGGCATTCTTTAGCATCCTACAATCTTATACATAACAATTGATTAATCTTTTATTTTTTTCATTTTTTAGAGTTCAAAATTTTTCAAAAATTTATTCCTGCTCTACTCTTCGGACAATGTTCTATGATAATTTCATATGAAGGCAGTTAGGTTCTTGATGTGCCAACATCAGATTTCAGATTTGCACCCTGCCTGATGGATGAAATATAAATGGATGAGAGTTGTTGAAGTAATTTGCAAGGTTTTTCTTTAAACTTTTCTTATTTTGGGCATAAGTTACTAGAGAAAAATGAGCAAAGTGTGCACTTTTGGTGTTTTGAGGTTTGCCAGTAATCGGGTGTACTGAGTCAATTATGGGTTTAGAATGGTTTGGGAGCCTTCGTTAGGATTAGGGTTGCTATTTTCGAGACGGGCTTACGTTCGAGTCATTTTTTCGAGCCCATTTTTATCGCGTCGGGCCGTACGAGTTTTTTCGGGCTAATTATCTTAGGCCAACTCGATCTTTCGCTTCTTTTTGGCAACCCTGGTTAGGATACTCTAGCTGTTAACGACTCGTCTCATTTAGCTATTTGAGTGGTATAAGAAATGTAGGATGAAAAACTTTGATGTCATCCAACTTAGATTGAAGCTAAGTGTCGGATTAATCTTAATTGTTTATTACTCGTTTCCTACTGGCAAACCTCAAAATATCTAAAAAGCACTTTTTGCTCGTTTTTTCCGTGGACAGGTTTTCTTTACTTTTATCGTTTTCTGAAACATGTGGGGCTGCTTTGTACTAGTATTAGGGTCGTAGTATAATAAATGAAAATGCTTTAGTTGCGTCTTATAGCTAGAATTGCAAACGTTGAGAAAGTTGTAACCTTTTTCCGACGAGGGTTCAAAAAGTTGCCCGCTCCGTTTAAATTCAAATCTCGTGCCGCAGCAAACCGTTCACCCTCTCATTTCATTTTTGACGAAGGTTCTGGGCCAACCTGCTATCTCGCTTTTTGAATACCTCCCTATGTATGATTCCCTGATGGATCCTAAATTATCTAAGGTCTATGGCATCTATTCACTAGCCTATATCAATTTTGGCCTTTTATAAGTAGCCATTTTAAATTTGATTAAATCCAAAATTCATTTGTTATTCCTCAAATAGCTGGAGTATTATCAGACTTTCTGCATTATGCTTATAGGCCCGTAGCTAAGAAATTTTCAGTGAATTTTTTGAAATTTTTGCCCGATTTCGAATTCAAAAATGATTCTCAATACATTACTTTTCCAAATTTAGGTAATGTTGAGAAAAACTTCAATTGCTCTTTACTGTAACTACGTAACATAAATTGCTTTTTGCGCAGCTGTTGTTGGTATTTTGCAAGTTTTATTTTATATTTTGGGTTATATTGAAGAATTGAGTAGGGGTTTCCTTAGTAATTTTGTGGATTGAGAGTCAAAAGATGAAAATTTGTATTAATACGTTTGAATGTTAGTAAATGTCCCCAAATCTGGTTTTAAGAGTTTTAGGTAATAGTGAAGATTACTGGTCCCTAGAAAAATGGTACCCTTCATTTATAGAGGATTTTTAATGTGTGGGTATTTTACCCTATTTGACTCTTAGATAATTTCCCTTTCTATTTTTCGAGCCTCGTAATGGACAAATTTGAGTCGAATGGCACCTCTTACGCCCATATCTGTTCGCGCAAAAAACCCCTATAAATCAAAATTTTCGAAAAAATGAGTAACTGCTTTTTCGATATTTTTGAGGTTTTCCAGTAGATGATTGAGTATGCGGAGGCCGAATATAAATTAAAATATATATTCGCGGACCCGAATTTGATCATGCCAAAAGTGGTTTAGTATTCGAAAATTGAAATTAGTGCTAACTTGACAAATTATGTTTCGACACCTTTCAACGAAATTCTGTTGATAAGGGAGTTTTATCTTTTATTTCAAAAGTATAGTTAGTATGTTAGTATTTGGGGGTTGTGTATATGGATATGGATTCGGGATTTGAGTGGATGTGTGTGTGGATATTAATTAGTGGATGTGCGAGTGTGGGCTTCCAGAGGTCCTACCCGTTAATAAACCAATTCACCTAATATTACATTTAATAAATGGATTAAAATAGATTAAGGAAGTGAAACTGATAATTGGACATTATAGGATTGAATATAATCGATAGGATTTGCGGAAGGACTAAGTAAACATTTGGAATATGAATAAAGTGAAGGAACTGGATATTGGATTGGACTGAAGTGAGATAACTGAGATGAACGAAGCAGGATTGGAATGAGAATGAGATAATTGAGATTGGACTGGACTGAGGATAAGCTGGTTATTGGAGGGAATGAAAACCTTATAAGTTGGGAAAAGGGGAGTGGAAAATGGGATAGGCAATAGTCAACAAGTTGGATTAATGGAGATTGTAAATATGATAAGCCTGGGAAAGTGATTGAAAATGAATGGAACTAATCGGAATTAATGTGAAAGGAAAAGGGAAGTGATTGGGAATAAATGGAAATAATAGGAATTCACGTGAATGAATAATGGAATGGCTGGGAAGGAATAGTTGTAAATAAACAACTTAGCTGGATTGAGCGGAAGTGTGGAAGCAAAGTTCAAAGAAAGAAAGTTATTAATTTATAAAAGGGAAGATAGGAATGGGAATTAGAGTCTGAGATTGAGTCTGGGACTGAACTGGTTTGGGTTCCGGGATCAGGGGTTACACCTCCCTTGCCCACCTGGTCGCGTCCCTGCGACCAAATTTGGATTGTGGGGATGCTTTCCTTTGATTGTGTTTCCTATTATTGAGTTGTGATATCGCAAGGTGGCCACATTTGTGTCACACCTGGAGTTATTAAATGTTTTGTAGAGGGGAAAGGATTCCTAGGGGGCGAGGGTTTCCCGGAGTGGGCTCTTAATTTTTATGGTTTTGGACTGAATGGCATGGGATATTTCAGTGTGGGAGTAATATAAAAGGAGAAATGTGATATGTAAAAGAAATGTGGACAATCATAATATTTTTAACGTAACTATTGTCGTTTAGATAAAATTAGTTATTAATAGTATATAAAGTAATATTGAGGATATTTTAAGGATACTATGGGGATTTGTGGATTTCAGGAGGAAATTTGACATAAAATATGGGAGGCAGTTTAAAATTTCAGTTATAATTTTTATGTATTGATAAACCAAGGTTATATGTGGGTGATAATACTGTTGGAGATGGAATTTTATTTGGGAATAACAAATTTTATTTGGGTTGATAGGAAAAATTTAATGGGAAAATTTAATGGAACAAATTTAAAATTTAACTGAACAAAAATTTTAATGGGAACAGAAAAATTGAACAAAAAATTTAAAACATTTTCGTGAGTTTTCTTGGGGTGGTCAAAGGGGTCGGAGATTTTAAATGGTGATTAAATGAAGAATTGTTTGAGTTAGTGTTAGAATGAGTAGAGGTGAATACATCAATGTTAGATGGGGAATTAAAAACAGATAAGAGGTGGGAAATTGAATTTAAATTAGGCGCCTTCGATATGTGTTATTAAATATATTTGAAGTAGGTGGATACACGAGACGGCCACTTGAAGTGTCACGTCCGGCTTTATTAAATGTGAAGGGTGAGGGAAGGGGTGATATATTGATTTGAACACCAGTACGGGTGGAAAAGAGGGGCTGAGATATTTCCTAAGGGAACATAAGACCCAATTTCGTTCTTAATCTTATCTAGAAATCTTACAAGGCGAAAAATTAAATGATAAAGAAAAAGTGATTATAATATTAAATGTAAAAGTGAATTTCTCGCCAGGGTCCTTGCGGCCACCTGGGGTGTTATTAAATTTGAGAAAAAGATTTGGATGTTTTTAAATGTTTGGGTTGGAGGGTTATTAGTTGGGATGTGATTTTTGACGGATTAGTAAGTTATCTATTGTTAATTAAAAAGCTGTAAGCGGAAGTTAGTAGTGGATGTGACAAAATTACAATTATTAATATTGAGCGTGCAATGTATGAATGTTAGTGGTTAGTTGTTTATTAAGTTGTTTGTTAGTAGTGTTATGTGAAGCTTTGTTGGTGGTGTTATGTGAAGTTGTTAGTAGTGTTATGTGAAGCTAGTGTAATTTTGTGAGAAACGAGAATTTTAATGACTCTGGAAGTGGAAAATGAAAAATATTGTTTTGTGGATTTTGGACTTTGATATATGCAATGGGGTATTCGAGTCTAGACGTCTAGATTGGGATATGATTATTATTGGATTTATTGTTTTTAGATTTGTTGTTTTTAATAATGAGCGCTTGGATTATGATAAGATTTATTGAGTGATGAGCGCTTTGATTTAGGATTTTATTTAATGAGCGCGAATTGGATCTGGATTTGATTGGTTTTTTTGGTTGCTAAATGGATTTGATGATTTATTGAGCGCGGAATGGATTGGATTTGAATGATCTATTGAGCGCTTATTAATTTGGATTAGATTTAATTTAGAGCGTGAATTTGATTGCGATTGATTATTTGATTATGAGCGCATGGATTAGGATTTGATTCATTGAGCGCGGTTTGGATTTGTTTGATTAGAGCGCGTATAGATTTGTTTGATTTATTTTTAATTATTTTTATTGAGCGCGGATAAGATTTGTTTGTTGATTATTGAGTGCTGAATATGTTTATTGATTATGAGCGCGGATTATTTTTTATTATTGAGCGCTTGGATTAGGATTTGACTTATTGAGTTATGTTGAGCGCTTATAGATTTGGATTATATTTAATTTATTGAGCGCGAATTGGATTTGGATTTGTTTGATTTATGAGCGCGGATTGGATTATGTTTGGTTTATTGAGCGCTTGTGGATTTAAATTTGATAGATTTATTAGCGCGGATTGGATTATGTTTGATTTATTGAGCGCGAATTTGATTTGAATAAGATGATTTATTGAGCGCTGAATGGATTTGATTGATTGAGCGCGGACTGGACTTTAATTGAATTTGATTGATTGAGCGCTGAATGAATTTGTTTAATTGGATTTGATTAATTGAGCGCTGATTGGATTTAATTAATTGGATTTGATTGATTGAGCGCGGAATGGTTGGATTTGATTAACTGAGCGCTGAATAGATTTGATTAATTAGATTTTATTGATAGAGCGCGAAATGGATTTGATTAATTTGATTTGATTGAGCGCTGAACGGATTTGATTAATTGGATTTGATTGATTGAGCGCTGAATGGATTTGATTAGTTGTTTTGATTGATTGAGCGCGGAGTGAATTTGATTAATTGGATTTAATTAGTTGAGCGCGGAATATATTTGATTAATTGAACGCAAATGGATTTGATTAGTTGGATTTGGTTGACTGAGCGCTGAATGGATTTGATTAATTGGATTTGATTGATAGAGCGCGAAATGGATTTGTTTTATTTATCGGACTCGGTATGATAATGATGTGATTTTATTTAATTAATGAGCGCGAATTGGATTTGATTTTATTGTATTAATGAGCGCGAAATGGATTTGGATTTGATTTTAATGTATTAATGAGCGCGAATTGGATTTTATGTATTTATTGAGCTCGTTGGATTAGGGAGGATTTATGAATAATGAGGGCTCTGATTGGATTGTTTAATTAGGATTTGATTTACTGAGCGCGGATTGATTTATTATTTAATATTTATTGAGCGCGGATATGATTTATAAAGTGATGAGCGCTCGGATTTGATTATTTAATTAGGATTTGATTTATTGAGCGCGAATGTATTTGGATTTGGTGATTAATTGAGCGCAAAGAATTGGAATGGGTTTATTGAGCGCTAGGATTTGGATTTGATTGATTGAGCGTTAAATGGATTTGATGAATTTAATTAAGTCTAAATGGATTTGGATTTAGTTGTTTATTTATGAATGATAAATGATTTGTAGATTAAGTATAATTTGGATGTGTCAGGAATTAACGTGTATTGAATATGTATGGATTTAAATGTAGTACGAACACGGAGTTGGATATAATAATTAATGAACGCGAATTCGTTATTGGTTTGATTTGGGATAAATGTATTATAAAATTTATTTAAAACGAGGGGAGAAGAAATTTTATAATTAGTGTGCACACTTTGGGGTATTAAAAATAATGTGATTTGGGGACAGAGAAAAAAATAAATGTATTTATATATTAAAAATTATTCTGATTGGTGAATTGGGCAGGGGTAGTGGATCGACTTAGGTGCTACCAGTTAGTATGTTAGTATTTGGGGGTTGTGTATATGGATATGGATTCGGGATTTGAGTGGATGTGTGTGTGGATATTAATTAGTGGATGTGCGAGTGTGGGCTTCCAGAGGTCCTACCCGTTAATAAACCAATTCACCTAATATTACATTTAATAAATGGATTAAAATAGATTAAGGAAGTGAAACTGATAATTGGACATTATAGGATTGAATATAATCGATAGGATTTGCGGAAGGACTAAGTAAACATTTGGAATATGAATAAAGTGAAGGAACTGGATATTGGATTGGACTGAAGTGAGATAACTGAGATGAACGAAGCAGGATTGGAATGAGAATGAGATAATTGAGATTGGACTGGACTGAGGATAAGCTGGTTATTGGAGGGAATGAAAACCTTATAAGTTGGGAAAAGGGGAGTGGAAAATGGGATAGGCAATAGTCAACAAGTTGGATTAATGGAGATTGTAAATATGATAAGCCTGGGAAAGTGATTGAAAATGAATGGAACTAATCGGAATTAATGTGAAAGGAAAAGGGAAGTGATTGGGAATAAATGGAAATAATAGGAATTCACGTGAATGAATAATGGAATGGCTGGGAAGGAATAGTTGTAAATAAACAACTTAGCTGGATTGAGCGGAAGTGTGGAAGCAAAGTTCAAAGAAAGAAAGTTATTAATTTATAAAAGGGAAGATAGGAATGGGAATTAGAGTCTGAGATTGAGTCTGGGACTGAACTGGTTTGGGTTCCGGGATCAGGGGTTACAGTATTTAATTGATCATACCTTCGCTTAATGTTGTCGTCACATAATAATTTGGATACCATCCAACTCAACTCTAAGAGATGAGTAAGAATTGCTTTAGATCTTAATTTCAGATTTTCACCCCGAACACTACTTGGTCGAATTCGGGTCAATTACCTACTGGCAAGCATCAGCAATATCAAAAAAGCACTTTACTTATTTTTTCTAGGTATCAGTAATTTTCACTATTATCGGTTTTCGCCTAATTTTTTGGGCTTATCTAACCTCACCGTGGTTAAATTTTTGTATTAGAACAAAAAAGTTTTTCGGGAGGTTTGACATTAGGTAATCAATTGTGCTGACATGAGTATGAATATAAGTTCAAACTTTCAATCATTGATTGGCTATAAAATTAATTCTGGATGATTTTTAGTTAATCCAAAATGTAAACACTCAACTAATTCTCTCCTCCTTCGAGTCCTTCGAGAAAAACACAGAGTTTATTCGTTTTATTGAGTTGAGTTCAAATATTTAAGCATTTCTTGCAGAGCTGAATACTCAAAGAGGTACGGGCCACTGAAAGTTGAAAAACAGGGAGGACCAAGCTGATTTTTAGAGCAAAAATTTCGATATTTTAAATGAAAGCTCATTCGAAAGAGCTCGTCGTGCTGACAAGGAAGAACTCACCAAAAATTTTTTTAATTATTTTTATACCATCGTGTAGAGCAGGGTTGATTTCCTATTGCCTGTTTTTTTTCTTTTTGGCCCTGATCCAAATTTCGAAAAGTTATAGGACTTCAAAGATTTCGAAAGTCTCCCTCATTTTTCTATTAAAAAGAAAAGGAAAAGGTAACACTGGTAACTAAAAGGTAACAAAAGGTAACACTAAACGGAAAGAAGAGAAGGCAGTGTTGCCTTTTCCTTTTCTTTCCTCCCTATAGCAAACGATTATAACTTTGTTCAAACTTGTTAGCTTCCCCCTATGGTTTTTCGATTTTCTGGGGCCTATATCTCGGGCCACACGAATCGAATGGTACATATGGGTCTTGTATCGAAATCTTATCACCGGTTTTGGGCTTCTTTTTTCCTGTAGCAAAACAAGAAAGAGAGAGGGAGAAGAATTTGAGTGTTGACATTTTGGATTACTTTATTTACGATTATCTAAAATTACATTAGAAGGGGTGAAAAGCGGGAAAACGTCTTCAGTTTTTAATTTTGTTTGAGTTTGAACTCATATTCGAACTAGTATATACGGACATGGAAAACCGCGAACTATAACCAAAAATTGTGATGTAACATACGCCATTACGTAGAGCAGTATAGTGCTCCGAAGTTTTCGACTTTCGGCGTGGCCTAGTCCCCACATTTTTCGTAATAAAGTGCAAATTGCGATTCTTTCTCTTTTTTTCTTTAGACTTCTTTTCATGTTGGCTAAAGAAGGAAAAGAATGGAAAAGAAAAGGGAAAGGTGTCTCTACCTTACCGTTCCTCTTTTTTAATCCGCATTAGATGGAGCAGAGGAGGACATGGTTTTCCAATAGGCGAAAAAGAGCATTTTCTTTAATAAGAAGAGTGAGGGAAACTTTGAATAACTTTTTTATTTCGGGGTGAGGGGTAAAAAATTGGCAATAGGTTATCGAATATGCTCTACACAATGGTGTTTGTTTCATCGCAAAATTTTTGGTCATAGTTCGCGGTGTTCCCTATAGTACCTGCGACCTTAACTCTTCAAGGGCCTTAACTATTCAAAGGTAATGGATCAAATCGAGTAGTATTACGATGTAAAGAAAAGATACGGCTGTACTTTAGCCGGTGGCCGGTTCGAAACCGATTCGAAATATATACCATTCGATTCGTCTCGGCGAGCTGAGTCGAATGGTACTACTCCCAGGGTGCGGAAACGCCTATGGACAAAGATACCGGCTCTCGAAAATCGAAAAACCAAAGGGGGGACCAAGCTGATTTTTGGGGTCAAAAATTCGATTATACAAATGATACCTCATTCGAAAGAGCTCCTCGAGCTGAGTCGAATAACACCAAAATCAACAAAATCCGACTTGATTGGACAAAGTTATGATCTTTTATTTTAGCTCCTTACCTATGGCATCTATGGAGATTTTTGCTGCTACGGAGGCCCCAAATACGTCCAGGGGCCTATTTCAATTGTCCACAGATTCTGCATTCTGTGCACAGAACACAGATTCTGTGGAAATTCTGTTTCAATTAAATTCTGTGTGCACAGAATCTGTGGTGCCCGCAGATTCTGCGGAAACATCCAATGATTCTGTGGAAACATTCCGCAGATTCTGTGGATGAAAATTTCTGTGGAAAATATAAAAATCTGTGGATTTTTTCCACTGATCCACAGAATTTGTATTTCAATTATTTTTCTGTGGTTCTGTGTATTTTTTCTTCTAAATT